TGTATTTTATTTTTCGTTTCCTTCAGATTGACTTTCTTTTAAGAAATTGGTATTGTTATGACTCACAAAACAAACCTGCTCGTGGAGAAGTGGTGCTATTGTTACATCAATTATGCACATATCTCCCACTATGGGAGTTGAACAATTCCACGAAGAAATAAATGTACATGTTATAAATTGTGTGTATACCATAACAATTACATCTTCCTTTTCATTCCAGACTGATTCGGTATAACCTCACATTCAGTTCTGTCTCTTCCACCACAGAAGAAGGCGCCAGTGGCACTATAGTCACGTGACTCCTGACGAATCTGGTCGTGTCCCGCTCAAAGCAAACCAAAACGCATGTTCAGATTGAACATACCCTTGTGTTTGTATAATGCTCTTTGCTATTGCTTGCCCCCGTCGGGTATTAGCAGTGGTCCAATGAACTGTGAAGGCGCAGCATCAAAGAACGCAAAGTGAGTATAAAGTCTGAAAGTATTCTTTCAAGACGAAAAACGCTCCCGTAGATCTAGGAAGGGCCCACCAACAAACGTGGAACGACAGATGAATGAAATTATTTCCGACTGCCTCGTAAGCACTATTTCCTTTGACTGTCTCAGACCTGAAGAACAAAATCACATATTCCAAATAATTTTTTTTTACTTACTCATTTTCAAATATAAATATTTGTGTTAATATCCAAATTCAAATGAAAATTTTATTTTATAAATTTTACTTGTTTTATAAATTTTATTTATTTTCAATTATTCAAATTTATTTGCTATGGTAGAACCAAATTTGAAAAGTGACATAATTTTAAATCCAGATAAAATGAAATGGCAACTAAGTGGAGCATAAAAAACGAAAGCTCAGAAGATAAAGAGAAAAGGATTTGTGAATCCCTAAAGACAGTTCCAAAATTACCTTCGTTTTTAAAATGTAATCAATCAGAAGAGACTTCTGCCATTGAATGCTTGAGTTTAATGGGCACAAATCGTCATACTAGTATTGCTAGTGCTGAAATTACTAGTAGCAATACAAAACAGAATTTGTTCCAGATTCTGCATCCATTCTTTGCTGTAGTAAAAAAATTAATAGTTGTGTAAAAAGTGAAACTATTTTAGAATCTGAAACTGTCACATCACATAAATAACAGAAATACAGATCCTACTCTGTGGAATAATTTTTCTTTGAATGATGTAAATTATTGGATCAAAAGAGGGCCAAGTCATTGTCAACATCACAGTGGACCATTTGAAAATTTGTGTCGAAAATTCCTGGATGGTAAACAAACAAGATTCTGTAGCCAGAACATGTTTGTAGGGTGCAAAGCTAATGGTGAAAATTATTAGAGGGAGTGGCTACTGTTTTCTCCATTAGTCGGCTATGTATGTTGTTTTGTTTGCAAACTATTCAATCTTAAATCATTTAATTTTCGATTTGCTGCGGATAGATTTAGTGATTGGCAAAACTCAAATATGATTGGAAAAACATGAAAACGGTTCAATTCACAGAGATTGTATGTTGTCATATTCAAACTAAAGACGTGTTTTGGCTTAACTCATGAAGTAGAAACCCAAATTAATGAAGAACGTCAGTACTGGGAAACCGGTTTGCAACACGTTGTTGCTGTCTTTATAACAATCCTGAATGTGGGCTATCTTTTCAAGAAAGAAATCAAGTGCTTGGGTCCCCACAAAATGGAATTTTGGAGGGTTTACTTGAACTTGCTGCTCAGTTTGATCCATTTTTAGCAGGTCACATTTCAAAATATGGTAACACAGGAAAGGGCAACACATTGTATATGTCTAAAACAGCATGTGAAGCATTAATAAACTTAATAAGTGATAAATTTCGATCAACTATTTCAGTGAAATAAGTATAGCTCAATATTTCAGTTTGTCTGTAGAGTCCACTCCTGATCGTTCCCATACAGATCAGCTAAGTATTGTTTTAAAATATGTATCTCCAACAGATGGAAAACCTGTCAACCGATTTATCGTATTTTTACACAAATAACGTACACCTTCTACATTTGTTTGCCAACCGCTCCCTCCCTTCTGTGAGGTATTTTTGTAAATGTCGCTGTGACATTACATGTTGAAGTAAAAAAATTAGCATAGCGTCCTAATGAAGATACCTCACAGGGGGAGGGAGCGGTTGGCAAACAAACATAGAAGGCATGAGTTATTTGTGCAAAAATATGGTATCACATTTACTAGCTTAAAAATCATACCAGTGAAGAAATTGCAAATCAAGTACTTTACTACTTATGTGAAGTTTGCAAAATTGATTTTTCTAAGTGCAGAGGCCAGTCCTATGACAATGCTGCCAATATGCCAGAGTGTTATAAAGATATGCAACAGAAAATTTTAGAACATAATGGACATGCCATTTTCATACTAAGTGCTGTGCATTCACTTAACCTTGTAGGACGTAGCACAATAGATTGTTGTCCAGAAGCAGTTGATTTTTTTCTGCTGTTCAGTTACGCTACACGTTTTTTGCTGCTTCGCTTCTACTTACAAACGGGCAGCTCTTAAAACATATTTAGGCAATGATTGAGTATTAAAATGTCTTTCTAATACATGTTGGAAAGCACAAATGCAATCCTGGAATCGTACACTCAGATTCTAGATGCTTTAGAAAATATTGCTGAAGACCAGACACAAAAAGGAGACAGCAAAAGAGAAGCGGAAACCATTGTCAACAAAATGCAAACACTAGAGTATATATTGATGTTGGTTATGTGGAATAATATATTGCAGAATTTTCATTGGATGAGTCAAGCTCCCCAAGATCCAGAAGTAAATTTAAAGACATGCACAGATTTCTACCAGTCATTAACAGGGTATTTACATAATTTAAGAGAAGATTTTGAAAAATTTGAAAACACAACAAAACAAATACTGCCAAATACTGATTATCAAGCAATTTGCTGTTACAGAAGCATTAGAAAGAAATGACTAAATGATGGAAGTGCTCCAGAAGTATTGAGTGCCAGAGATCGATTTTGTGTAACCACGTACTACCATCATTGACACACTTGAATCTTGCATGAAAAGAAGGGCGAAAGTGTATGCAGTTCTTTCAGATTAAATTTTCCTTCTTAAGTAATGTGGATATACCTGATGAAGAATGCATGTAGGCATCCAAGAAATTTGTGCAGGCTTATCCCAATAACTTAAATGCAAACCTTTATGAAAAAGTTGGACAATTTCATTCTTACATGAGAACCAAGTTTACAGATTCAGGAAAGACAAATTTTACTCATGTAGGCATGTATGATTCCATAATAGAAGCTAAAATGCAATGTGTATTTCTCAATGTTGAAATTGCTTTATGCATATTCCTGACTTTAATGATCACAAACTGCACAACAAAATGCTCATTTTTGTCTCTAAAGAGACTCAAAAACCTTCAGCATACAACGATTCAAGAAAGACTCGATTCAGTATCCTTGTTATATATGGAAGTAGATATTATTTGGTAGCTTAATTGTGATGAAATCATTGAAGAATGTGTAAGAGCAAAGAATAGAAATGTTTTTAATTACGTTAGAGATGAAAGATCTATCTAAAAATAAAATACAGTAATTTGTTATAATATTTGTTTCCTGATCATTACATTTTCTTTTATGATATCTTTTCATTTGTTCATTTATAATTATAGCATTTATTACAAAACAAGCATCAGAATTGAAGTATGAGCTGTTTAAAGCAAAATTGGTGAAAGTCAATTTTTCTTTGTAGGAGATCAACAGAATTTTACATTCAATTTTACATTGACACAACTAAGTTCACTGACTCATTTGCTTTGTTGTAGAATATGTGTCTTAGGCTGGGTTCTCTAGAGAAGCAAAACCAGTGAAGCATATGTGTGTGTGTGTGTGTGTATATATATATATATATATATATATAGCTATATATATATATAGCTAGAGAGAGAGATTTAAATCAAAGAAATGGCTCGTGAGGTTGTAGAGCCAGGAAAGTCCCAAGTTCATGGGTCGGGCTGGAGGTTTCTCCTGATTCACATAACTGTAGGGGCTGGTGAATCCAAATTTGGCAGGTTAGACAGCAAGCCTCTGGCCCACAGGCTGCAGAGGCTGATGAACCCCAAGATCGGCAGGTAAGCTGCTAGCTGAAGTCCCAAGAGCTGGAGTCAGATGCAGGATCCAGAGTGAGCAAAAGCCCCAAGCTTTGCCAGAAAGTCCACATGTATTGGATGCAGGCCACATCCCCAAGGAAACGCCTATTCAACTGACTGGCTGCTCATAGCAGAGCTTATCATGGAGATGATTACATTATATCAGATCTCATTATGGAGGTGATTATATCATTACATAGCTGCCAAATGACATCATAACTGCCAAACCACTGAGAATCATGGCCCAGCCAAGTTGACTCACAACCTTAACCAACATAATGTGAGATATTCTTTTTGTAGAAAATGTGTTGTACAGTAAAAATCTTAGTACCCTGCATCCACTAAAAATTTTATAATCCAGTTCATCTCATTCTACTAAAATGGCATTCACCACTTTTGCATTCAGTCACTAATATTACAATCACATTTAAAAAGAAGTTATGTCATGGGTAGCAATACTAGTATATATGTAATGCATATATATAACTCAAGTATCCTGTTTGAATGCTTGAGTAAGCAGAAGAAGAGGAACCACAGATTACGAATGCTTAAGGCCCTCACATGCCTTAATCCGGCCCTGGACACCATGAGCAAGTTCCTTAACTCTCTGAATCTCAGGCTCCTCATTTCTAAAATAGGGATAATTCTCCCTTGCAAGATTGTTGTGGGAGGTAAGTAAGATTGTCTTTGTAAAAGTGCGTTCTTTATGTAGTCAATGAATTGTACATATAGAAATTGTTGAATTGCTGTGTGTTCTGCTGTGTATATTTTCAATGACAACAAAAAATTAAATTATTTAAAAGAAAGTGCTTTCTTTATAAATTGTAATGCTTGTGCAAATGAGCCACAGCACCTGACAGACAATAAGTTAGCAATGAGTGGTTGTTATGTCTTTGTCTTAGTTTTTTGAAAAGCAACACAATGGCACAGTCTTCTCCCCCCAAACCGGGACACTATTATACTTCATTTAACAGTGCAGAGGCTCCTTTGAGGGTAACTCCAGGTGTTATGTTTAAAGACACCATCTCTCTAATTCTGCCCTAAACACATTTCCCTTGCAGCTATTTCCTTTGCATCAATTTATGTCTTATTGGACTCTATAAGCAGAAGCTTCCTGGATGGCTGCTCTGGGGAACCTCTTTTACTTTTTTGGTGGGGATAGCTACCATTTGAATAACCTCTCAGCCTCTTACTGATTTCAGCGGATCAGTTCATTTCTCAATGGACCTTCCACCAATACTTTCGCATCCTCCTCTGAAGGACACCTTCTCATGTATGCTTTTGTGTGCTGCCCAGATTCCCTTCACCAGGCCCAAATGCCCATGCCACAGCTACTGAGTGTTGGCTACTAAACACTTGCAGCTGCACCCTTCTCTGGAGAATTGCCCTTGACCGAAGGAAGCCACATTTCCCAAAAATGTTTGGGACATTGTTCTGTATCTCCAGGGGCAGCCCACAGCCAATGGCCAGCCA